AATACTTCACCAAGTTGGACTTACGGGAAGGATATCACAAAATTCGGATGAACTCTAAAGACGTTTATAAAACCGCATTTTGTACACACGAGGGTCATTATGAATTTCTAGTAATGCCTTTGGGGCTTACGAATGCTCCCTCAACATTCCAGGCCACGCTGAATCAATTATTTGGACCTTATCTTCGCAAATTTGTTATTGTCTTCTTTGACGATATTCTGGTGTCCTCTATTGATTACCTAGGGCATATCATTACCACCGGAAGTGTGCACGCCGATCCAGAGAAGATCGCAGCTATGACCAGCTGGCCGACGCCCACTTCAGCCAAACAATTACGAGGTTTTCTTGGGTTGACAGGCTACTATCGACGCTTTGTGTTCCATTATGCTTCCATTGCAGCCCCTTTAACGGATTTATTGAAGAAGGATGCATTTCATTGGCCTGAAGACGCTGAGGCAGCCTTTGGGGCTCTCAAACATGCTATGACAACCGCCCCAATTCTTAAGCTCCCGGATTTCAACCAACCGTTTGTGGTAGAAACAGATGCTTCTTCCAAAGGCATCGGTGCAGTGCTCATGCAAGAGGGGCGGCCCATTGCTTATTTCAGCAAGAAATTAGGACCACACATGCAAGCGGCCTCCACCTACAATCGAGAGTTATATGCCATTGTGGAGTCAGTACACAAATGGCGGCAATATTTGGTGGGACATACTTTCATCATCCGCACCGACCAAAACAACTTGAAGGATTTGTTACAATAGGTTATACAGACCCCGGAGCAGCAGCAGTATCTACGGAAGCTCTTAGGCTACCACTTCACAATTTAATACAAAACAGGAGTTACAAATAAGGTTGCAGATGCTTTATCCAGACGCGACCCAGGGATGCACGAAACCGACGACACCACTGCAGTATTTATGGCTCTGTGGGAGGCAGATGAAGTCCATAGTTATGTGGGAGTTATTTCACTCATCCTCTACTGACAACAACAAAGATGACACCTTGGAATGGCCTCAGGAGACCCCACCACAAATAGTGGAACTACTTCAGGGAAAAGAGCACATGTTTCGACCCCCAAATGGGCTGCCACCCCATCGCCAGTATGACCACTGCATCCACCTGTGACCTGGGACAAAACCAGTTAACGTACGGCCATACAAATATCCCCATTACCAAAAAGAGGAGATTGAGAACTTAGTAAGGGAAATGCTGGAGCAGGGAATTATCCAACCGAGCCACAATCCGTTTTCCTCACCAGTACTCCTAGTGAAAAAGAAAGATGGGACTTATCGGTTCTGTGTTGACTACCGCGCGTTAAATGAAGCCACCATCCGATACCACTTTCCCATTCCCACAGTAGATGAACTATTTGATGAATTGGGAGCCACAAAATACTTCACCAAGTTGGACTTACGGGAAGGATATCACAAAATTCGGATGAACTCTAAAGACGTTTATAAAACCGCATTTTGTACACACGAGGGTCATTATGAATTTCTAGTAATGCCTTTGGGGCTTACGAATGCTCCCTCAACATTCCAGGCCACGCTGAATCAATTATTTGGACCTTATCTTCGCAAATTTGTTATTGTCTTCTTTGACGATATTCTGGTGTCCTCTATTGATTACCTAGGGCATATCATTACCACCGGAAGTGTGCACGCCGATCCAGAGAAGATCGCAGCTATGACCAGCTGGCCGACGCCCACTTCAGCCAAACAATTACGAGGTTTTCTTGGGTTGACAGGCTACTATCGATGCTTTGTGTTCCATTATGCTTCCATTGCAGCCCCTTTAACGGATTTATTGAAGAAGGATGCATTTCATTGGCCTGAAGACGCTGAGGCAGCCTTTGGGGCTCTCAAACATGCTATGACAACCGCCCCAATTCTTAAGCTCCCGGATTTCAACCAACCGTTTGTGGTAGAAACAGATGCTTCTTCCAAAGGCATCGGTGCAGTGCTCATGCAAGAGGGGCGGCCCATTGCTTATTTCAGCAAGAAATTAGGACCACACATGCAAGCGGCCTCCACCTACAATCGAGAGTTATATGCCATTGTGGAGTCAGTACACAAATGGCGGCAATATTTGGTGGGACATACTTTCATCATCCGCACCGACCAAAAGAGCTTGAAGGATTTGTTACAATAGGTGATACAGACCCCGGAGCAGCAGCAGTATCCATTGTTCTAAAACTCGCTAGGCGCTAGTCGGGCGGTAGAGGGGCGCCTAGCGCCTAGGCGGCCGACTAGGCCGATTTTTCGGCCGACTAGGCCGATTTTTTGGCCGACTAGACCGACTAGGACTCTACGGTTAGGGCCGCCTAGGCCGCCTAGGCCGATTAATTGGTCCGCCTAGGCCGATTTTTAGAACAATGGCAGTATCTACGGAAGCTCTTAGGCTACCACTTCACAATTTAATACAAAACAGTAGTTACAAATAAGGTTGCAGATGCTTTATCCAGACGCGACCCAGGGATGCACGAAACCGACGACACCACTGCAGTATTTATGGCTCTGAGTAAACCTTTGCCCGCTTTACTGGATGAATTAAAAGCTGAAAATGCAACAAAGAGGGACCTGATAGAACTCCATAACCAGGCCTGAGAAGGCTCTTTACCTCCTCACATTTCAGTTCAAGGTGGGCTCATCTTTTACGATGGTTGTTACTACATCAGCGAGGAGTCTGCACTAAAACAAAAACTTCTCCAGGAGCATAATGCCCTCCTATGGTCGGGCATGTCGGCGTGAAAAGAACACTAGCTCAGTTGGCAGCATCTTTTTATTGGGTCCACATGCGCAAGGATGTTGGAAAGAAATGTTTCGCCTTAATGGGACTAAGTTAAATCATAGCACGTCTTACCACCCACAAACAGGTGGTCAAACAGAGGTGAAGAATAGAGATCTCGAGCAATATTTAAGGGCTTTCACCCATGGGAAACCGTCAAAATGGAAAGACTACTTGGGCTGGGCGGAGTTTAGCCTAAATACTACCTATCATGACGGTCTTAAGATGTCTCCCTTTTAAGATCTCTACAGGCGTGTCCCAGCGTTGGTGCCACCATACTCCACGCCACTGTCAAAAGTACAAGCTCTGGATGACATGCTTAGAGAGCGTGATCAAGTGTTGGCACAACTACGAGCCCACCTAGGTGAAGCACAACATCGTATGGCCCAACGCGCAAATAAAGGGAGACGTGAGCAGGAATTCAACGTGGGCGACATGGTACTCCTCAAGTGACAACCATACCGACAACATTCTGTAGCACGCCGACAAAACCACAAGCTGGCTCGTCGTTATTATGGGCCATTTAAGGTCCTTGACCGAGTGGGGCAGGTCGCGTACCGACTCGAGCTACCAGAGGGGGCCAAGATCCACCCTGTGTTTCACATTTCCCAATTAAAACAGTTTCGGGGCCCTAGCATGGTGGCTGTGTCAACTTTACCAACAGATTTTTTCGAAGGACGCCCATTATCAACTCCCCTAGCAATCTGTGGCTCCCGACGAGTGCTCAAAAATATGAAACCCGAAAACCAGGTGTTAGTTCAATGGTCTGATAGCCCACCGGAAGATGCCACTTGGGAACCGGAGGAATTCTTTAAGGCAGTTTATCCTAATGTACACCTTGAGGACAAGGCGCTGTCTCAAGGGGAAGGGAATGTTACGATCCTAAAGAATAATATGCCAGGAGAACCCAGAAGATCTTCACGTGCAAAAAGATCAACCAAAGATCAAGCTTATATATATGGATAGGAAAGGATGGGAAAAGATTGATTCAGACAAACAGGAGGAAATCAAGCCAAATTAATAATAGAGAATATTGTCCAACCTTATTACCTTTTTCAGCATCCTAATTGTTAGACAACTCTAGAATGTTTTCCTATTTATACCATATGTAATCCTGCCACAGGAAAAAAAAAGAAAATAAACCGTTTTAACATCTTCTTCTTAGTTTTACAGAATTCTCTTAGTTTACTACCGGAGTCAGTGAGCACTCGAAGCCTCCCTTATCAAAGAATCTATGAGAAAGCAAAACACTTGAGTAGTTTATATTAGTGTTCTTCAAGAGAGGTTGTGTGGCTTGTTAATCATCAATTTTAATAAGGAGTATGTTGGTGTTTAAAAAGATAAACATTCAGTGAATGCACCTGTAAAGCTGTGAACACACAACCCTAAGCCTTGCAAAATTTTGATTGGAATATAATACTATTACCTGCTAGACTAGCTAATTAGATTACGGCGGGACGAGACGGGACGGGGCGGATCATGTTTATTGTTTGGTATCATATTAACGCGTACATATATTCTTTGGTATATAATAATATTAACATACATTCCGGTATAATAAGATCTACAGTTTGTTTGGTAATGCTGAAATTAGTTGAATAAACTTAATCTTCTTAAATTGGTAAAATTCTAGCTGTAGCAGCAGAATTGGATGAAACTACTGAATTATGAAAATATTATATTTAAAATATACGTAGTATGAAATCCTTTATTAATAAAATAAATAAATAATTATATGAAAAATAGCTAAAATGATCATCTACACTAAGTTTAACTAATTCACCCACAAAAGTAACTACTCCCTCCGTCCCTAAATGTTGTTCCAATTGCGGATTACGAAGCTTGACCGACGATAAAGTTAAATGATCCCTGTGAAAACTCGGATTATTTTTAGTAAATAAAATTTACATATTCAGAAACTACATTAAACCCGCTACAAAGCCTGCAAAAAATAATTCAACTTTTATAAAATTTTGATATAAAAAGTAAGAGATTAAGAGTGATTTAAGTTGACCAATTGAATAGTGAAATGGAACTTCTTTTAGGGACAGAGGGAGTATAAACTTACTTATTCTGATTATTACACAATTCAACGCGTGAAATAAAAAATTATGTATTTATTATAATAAATGACTGATAGGGCCGATAAGGTAAAAATAGAAATTAACAAACGGATACTTAAACTGCGGTATACTTGTATATTGCTACACAAATTGAATTTGTAATGGAACCATAAGGCACATAAAATAAAATGACCTAAACATACAAACTTACACAATATTAGTATGCTCCAGTATTGTTTTTGTGCGAGGACATAGCGCGATCACAAGTGAAATTATATTCTGTACAATAATTATAAATTGTAGACAATTTCCATCATTTTAGTTCAATCTCTTAACAAAAGAAAAATCACTTTGTTCCTCAATATTGATGATTTCGTGTTTCTGCAAAGGGACACGAACCAGCTCCAACAAGTTGGTGGGATCATCATTAATATTTTTAACATCATCATGATCACCATCATCTTGTTGAATTATATTGTTCGAAGAAGAAGATGGTCCATATCGTGATTGTCTTCCATCAACATGGTTGGCAACGAAATGTGGCGGAGATTGTGAGCCACCACCATTGTCATCACTGCGTCCCCAATGCTCATATAAGTCGTCGAACTCGGGTTTATCATGCCCAATTGATTGAGTACTACTCGCCACGTCCATCTCGCTTCGGTAGAAGCCGTGGCCGCGGAGGAGGTGCACCGGAGACATGCCGTGCCGAGAAGGTGTTCCGGGACGGCTTGATGTAGGTGTCACGGAAGCACTCTCAATTTTGTTATGATCTTTTATTCGTTTCTTTGCTGTGTGATGCCAGCCTTTCAATGCCCTTGCGACGTTCTCGTTGAAAATGGTTGGTTTCATATTTGAACCCATCTGCATTTTGTCCATATTACATTATATGAATGCCGCATATATATACTCTATTCTCAATATTAAGGTAGTGTTTGAATCCGATTATTAAAATTGTTTCTTTTACTCTTTTAGGGAGCAGAAATAGAAGTTGAAGTATTTGGACGAAAATATAGAAGTACTTTTAGTGTTCTAATTTACTTCTAGAAGCAGTTTTTTAGAAGATGAGGAAAACCAGTTTCTGAAAACTGATTGTACTCCTGCTTTAAAAAATAAGAGAATCAGAATCAGTTCCAACTTGCAAACACTCCTAAGAAACAAAACAAGATTATAGTAACATGTTCATATAGACTAAAAAATATTCCGTAATTTGTTGGGCGTTAATTAATAAAATAAAATGTACGCAGTGTCAAATTCTCATACAACCGCACCATCGTTACACTTGATTTACAATATAAAATTATTGTTCTATTAATTTTTCATTCATCAATTGTTTGAGAAAATGAGAACTAGCAAATCATTGTTTGAGAAAAAGAAGTGTTGCAAGCAATGTTCTAAAAGGCGCTAGGTGCTAGTCGGGCGCCAGCCCAACGCCTAGCGTCTAGGCGGCTAGGCGGGTGCCTAGTCGGAGACAAAGAAATTGCATTTTTACCTATATTTTTGCATAAATATGATAAGTAATATTGTATTTTTGTGTGTATAAAATACATATATACATTTACATTAACAAACATGAATGATAGAATCATCACACTTAATCATGCGTAGTATATGATAATTAATCACTTAATTTTATTATGCTATAAATATAAATAATGATGAAATTTAGGAATATATATAGAAACATGTATAGTTTTATCTTAATTTACAACTTCATTTCTTTATATCTATATGGTTAAAACTAAAGTACATATATCGCTTAGAAAATTGAAAATAAAAAGTAAAGTAATATTTGGCGAATCTAGCTAGACGGCCTAGGCGGCTGATTAGGCGCTCTAGGAGGGCAACTAGGCGCCATAGGCGGCCATCTAATTCAAACCAATTAGTCGGAGCGCCTAGACAAAAATCGGGGCGCCCGACCACCGGCTAGCGCCTAGGCGGGGACTAGTCAGATGCCTAGAGCGATTTTTAGAACAGAGGTTGCAAGTTTGCAACTAATAAAAAAAGAACAGTTATTCTATAAAAAACAGTTAAGATAGATAAATTCACAACTTCATGATTCTTGTGATTGAAACATTCATATTACTAGACAACAAGACCACAAAATATAGGAATCTATTAACCTTTATGATAGTTGGATTAAACGGTTAATTAACACGTAGTATATCCTAGTTTGGGTGATTAGTAGCTTGGCCAATGCCCGAGTAAAACAGGACAAGGTGTGTCTTAATAGAACTGAAATTTTATGGTCTTATCGTTTTAAGTCTTAATTATTTGATCTGAATTGGTTGTTCTGATCTGATACATATCCGGTACATATCTGGTCTATGTGTATTTTATAAGTGAAGTCTAGTCTATTCTAGTCTATTCTAGTCTATTCTAGTCTAATCTGTTTAAGTTGGACTTGGTTTGATCTATTTTAGTCTAGTCTGGTCCATTGTCCGAGAGTGTAGATAGTATATAGTGTAGAATTAATATTAATTTTCTCAAAATAAATTTCTTTTCTTGAATTCAATAATGATTAGTTACCTGCGTTACAAGGGCATAGAGAGGAAGGGTTACATAGCTGCACAGAACCTGTATAATAATGCTAAAAGGCCACATAATTGTGTGTTATTAATATTAACAATAAAATCAATGCATTATCGAGAAGTTCTCTTTTAAGAGGTAGTTACCCCATAGCGAATCTGATAATGATATCCTCCAAATGCTCATGGAAGCATGACCTCAATCCAAATGTATACTAGAAAACAAACCCCACCCCAACAAAACAAAAAGAAACGAGTTTTAATATTTTGTCATCATAAAATTTAAAGTAGTCAGTAGTTACCAATATTAGCTTACCCAAGTCCAAGCGAAGAAGGCCAATTCAAATGCATTCTGCATTAAATGTTAATTAATTAGAATATATAGTTAATAGAAGGTACTTTTAAAATTAAAATTCGACAATGTACATTGTTAATTCGCTAAATAGGAGTAAATTACCTAAATCGTAAGAGTAGGAGTATAGGTTTTCAATTTTTAAAATTTGAGTAACTCTTCCTCTCTAACCATTGCCATATTTTAATAAGAATATTATTTATTTCTGATAAAGACGCAAAAATGTAAAAAGCCGGACTTGCCCGCCTTCTAGCACCACCACCTTCGACCACTGAAAAAAAAATACTAACCTGCAATTGTAGAGCAAATAAAATTTTACATTTTTGAAGAATAATAATGTCATTTTCATGTAATTTTAAAGAAATGTGACATTTTTTACACAAGATGAATTTTTTTGGCAGTCAGAGATGGTGGTGCTCAGAGTCCATAATAATGTTATTGCTATTATTTTTTCAGTTTTTGTATTTTTATCAGGAAAACAATTTTAAGTAATACAAAGTACAAACTATTACTCACAAATCAAGAATAACTCATACTTTAAAAATAATATTCAATAATACCATATACGAAGTATTTGATTATAAAACAATGAGCGGTCCAGCCCAACTGGTCGCCAACTCACTCTCTCTTACAAGAGTGAGTTTCAACCTAGACTAAATTACTCCAGACCCCCCCCAACCCCCCTCCCCCAGACGCCCCCTGGAGTAAAAAGAAAAAAAAAGATTACAAAACAAAAGTAGTACATAGCTTGATAGCTATTGTCATTAGAAGTTCAATCATTTAACTAATACAAAAATTAATGTCATTAAATTAAGCAAGTGACCCAATTTTGGAATAACCTATATTCGATGGTTTAATATTAGTATTTAGTGTATTTGTAATGAAAAAGTGGCTCTATATTATATTTGTTATATATTCAAGCAATTGATATTATTAAAAATTATTTCTAAAGTACATATTATTATTGGTTTAATGATGATAAATAAATACATATTTATTATTTATATGTTTTTATTATAAATACAAATATGATTTTCTTAATAAAATATGGTAAGGAGAAAATATGAAGAAAGAGTATAATTTGCTCCTATATTGAGATGTAAAATTTATATATGCACATTTTGTGTATATTTTGAGTTGGTTTATATTAGAAATAATTAAATAAATATGATCAAAGTAAAGATGATTTACAAAAATATGATTAGTGACTAGAGTAGTAATGAAATCATAGTAATTCATGTTCAAGTTTTGAGCTTAAGTTACCGCAACACCACATTGTAGTAATGATAGTCATATTTATGTAAACATGTTTTATTTTAGTACTATTCTTATAAAAAACCATTTATATTACTCCTATGTGCGATTCGTAAAATATGTGCACACATACTTGAAAAAGAACAAAGCTAACGAGAAACAGAATGAGTCGCGGACGGTTGAACCAGAACAGGTCATCACCCGGCTCAACCACTGGAACTCCCTTTACAATTTCATTCCTATCCTGAATCCTTAGCCCCATCTTTGTGATGATCACTTGCAACTTGGCACCAACCAACAATATAATCTGTACATACTATGAACTGTTATTTCAATCATTTTTTTTCAGTGATATAAATAATACGGAGTATAATTACTTAAATCAATGTGACATGTAGTTTATATAAATGATCAAGCTAGAAGTGTTGTGGAAGAGCCTCTTTAAGCTTCGTTCGAGCATAGGGTTTAGTTTGGAACCCACAAACCTTTGTTGAAGGTTTTAGGCCAATCACGTAGGGGATTTCTATCACAGATGAGTAGGGAAGAAAGAGAGACATGGCTTTGGAAGCAGCAAGGTAGAGTTTTGGACTCCATTAGCTGAATGTCATCATCTGGAGTGCAGGGGCGGCAATGAGCAGCGAGGAGGCGTTACGTTCAATCTTAAATTGACGATACCGATCGTCTGTCCCCCTCTTGAACCAACGCTAATGAAGTGAATATGTTGCTTAGGTTTGGAAGAAGACATTTCAAGTTGGAGTTTGGCGACCTGCGGTTTTTTTCTCTAATTTTACACCTATATAAATTTATTCCACTAAACAATTTCTCTCGTTTTTGAATGGGAAAAGTACAAAAAAGGTACCTATAATTTGAGCTGTTTTTAGATAGGGGCACGTGTTTCATTTTTTAACAAAGTGAGACACATGTTTGAATTCCGTTATCGCAGCACGGGCATGACGACTAACCCCGTTAGAGAATCTAACCCCGATTTTCAAAAGTCTCCGAAACATTAAAAGAAAAACACTGGGAGGTGCGCCTCGTCAAGGAGACCAACAAACTATCATTCTTTTTTTTGTTTGCAGCCACCATGCCGCCAAAAATCCGCCGGAAAAGTGATATTAACAAATTCATTTTAAAAAAATCCAAATAGAGCCGAAGAATTTGAAGAGAATGACATTTTGTTGGTCTCCTTGACGAGGCGCACCTCCTTGTATTTTTCTTTTAATGTTTTGGAGACTTTTGAAAATCGGGGTTAGATTTTCTAACGGCGTTAGACGCCATGCCCCTGCTGATATTTTTGAATTGTGTGTGTTGGTGCCAGTCTTGTCATGTTTAGTTTTACTACTTTTGGAGGTATTGAGGGTTCTAATGCCGATAATTGTTTCAAAGCTCTTGCGTGTCCAACGAAAAATTTTACTCAACTTTGGTTAAACTTTTCTATGACCGATAAGGGTGTGAAAGGACCTCTTGATTATTATGAGTCTAGTGAGAGAGAAGATTTGAGTTAGAGTATGATATAAGATTCACGATTTCTATTACTCCCTCCGTATTTTAAAGTTTGTTATACTTTCCTTTTTTGAATGTATTTAAAAGTTTGTCACACTTTCCTTTTTTGGTAAGTTTCTTACTTTAAAAATACTAAATTACCCTTACTTTTTCTACTTTTTATTTTTTCTTTCATATTTTTCCACCTTCTCTCCTATTTTTTCTACACTATTCATTACCCCTGTTATTTCCCTCTTAAATGTTGTGCCCAAACCTAATGTAGAGAACTTTGAAATACGGAGGGAGTATATTAATATAGACTACTTTTACCTTAAAAATATAGTCGATTTACTTTTAAAAAATTTAAAAGATGATGCCATTGAGATATTGAAAATTAAATCCACTATATCACTAATAATGCTAGTGTTTTAGGACATTATACATAGTATTAGTTGAAACTATTTGTTCTAGTCCATTAGCATTGGTCTTTTATTATGTATCCAAGAACACATTGATCTTTTATTTAGTTATTGTTATGAGACAAATATAGTTTTAACCCGTAATTCATGTATGTGCCCATTTTTAGTTATGCAATTTTACTCACCTTCAAATTATAGTCTATGTTATGGACTTTTTCACATGAACGTACTATTTATTGAAGAAATTTCCATACCAATAGAAGCTTTTCTGAGCAGTGTTTGTCGGAGATTATACATCTCGATGAAAAACTCCGTAATGTTTACAATATTATTAGTTGCAGGACATAATGTACACGCAAGTAAATTATGAGACTAATAACACACATTTATAAAAGAACGGACTAAAATCCTCATCATTCAGGAGCTCATAGATAGTCTTGACAAAAAGTTAGGGGGCATACTATCATTTTCAAGATTGACATGATTAAAGCTTTTAATAGGTGTTCCTAGGCTTTTATTAAACATGTTCTTCTTACATATGATTTTCATCCCCAATTCACTAATATGATCCTTAATAACTTCAATGTTACTTGGTGTTCCATTTTAATTCATGGAAACCCAAAGGGTTTTTGAATACCTCAAGGGGTGTGAAATGGGGGATTCTCGTTCTCCTATTCTTTTTATCATTGTAAGTTAGACCGTTTCCCAACATTTAAAGATTTGTTTGCAACTAGGGGTGGTCGTTTTATTTGTCATACAAGTGTCCATTTGGTTACCCATTTGTCCTATGTTGATGATCTCATTGTGTTTTCTAATGTTAACAAAAGCTCTCTTAATCTGCTTCATAAGACCATTATTGACTATGAGGTTTTTTCAATCTAAACGACAATGTAGAGCGAACTTGGTAGGTTATTCTCGATCATCCCAGATATAGATGCATCACACAAGTCACTCACCCTTGATCCACGATCGTGGCCTAATTTATGAGGCGATTGTGCCAAGTATTTGAAATTGAATGAAGGAAGAGTACAAAATCATTGTTGCTACCAAAAATTGGCCTGTGGTCGTTCACTTCGGTGGTGAAGCAGCTTTTTCCGTGGCTTATCTAGTTGTAGAATGATTTTCAAATCTTTGAATTATAGATCTTCTTATTCCTTATTTCCTTATCTAGAAATTTTGATGTTGTTAGAGGTACATGGATATAATGACTAGCGATTTTTTTTTACCTTTTTGGTGTTCAACATTTGACTTTGCTCTATCAGGGATGATCGTCTCTCTAAGTCTAACCATAGGGTTATCAATTGTGATTGGAGGAGGAGAGTTGTAGTCTGTATTGATTTTTTTGAATATGATGTAGGATCATGATTTTAATTATATCAATATAGGTGCTTTCTAGTAAAAAATATTATTTTTAATACAAGTGATCTATACTTATTGTTCCGCAATTGAATAAACACACACAAACATGCCAAGTACCTTGTGATATGATGGTATCACTGTGACACTTCCAAGGAGGAGGTCACAAGTTCGAATCCCATCCCAGTTTAAGGATGTTGGCATTAACATTGATCAGATACTATATAGGTTAGAAAGAATTGTCCAAAAACACACACACAAACATGGTTCTTTCATAAGTACATAATTACTAGGAATAACTTACAATTAGGGGAAGAAACGGAAGCCATAAATAAGAGTACCAGCCTGTCCAAATCAAAATAAAAAGATATAGACTATGCCATTTAATTATTCAATATTCCAATTTCATGGAGACACATTTAATGAAAAGTATATTAATTGATATTTTAACTCAAATAGATCAAGAACTTAGTTTATATTGAACATGCATATATATGCTTGTGCATGAGAAACACAATGCACTACATATATGGATCATCATTAATCTTAGGTTTGAATAATTTTATTTTACTTACCGTGAGTATTGAACAGAAGAAAGGAAACTGCAAATAGCCACATCGGAGGACTACATATTGAAAAAACACATAATGCACAAATGTTAGTAAGTGTTTTATTTATTTATTTATTTACGTATTTATGTGTTTTTATCTCTTTGTTTTATAACAAAAAACATATTCAACTTCTTAAATCTACTATATCAGAATAACATGTTAAGTATATTGAGCAAAAACAAACCTGATTCCAACAACGACCTTGAAATCTGTTTCTAGTGATCTTTTGATATACTTTTGAAAATCGAAATTCGTCGCAGTTTGAGGTGTCAAATGAGCCTGATTTACAAAGAGAAGAAAATTACGATGTGCACATGTATATGTGTGTGTGTGTGTGTTGATGAAGACGGGTTTAATCACCGACAAAGTAAACGAGCTAGGAAGAGCTCAACGAGGCTTCAAGACTACGTGGTAAATTAGAAGTGCTGCCAGATTATTTTGACTTTCTATTTCCGTATTAATATTTATTTAGCTAGTAGAGTTGGAGTATAATGTGTATTCCTAGCCAGTAGGATTAATATTTGCTTTGGATTCATATTCCTATGTTATTACGTATGTATAGGGGTGTAAATACATACCTCATCTTTATCAATAAAGATTATTGAGAGCTGTATAATTAAATTTGGTCTTCTATCACCATGAGATAGAAACGGTTTCATTGCACCGTAAGCAAGGCTGTTTCATCAATTGGCATCAGAGCCAGCTTTCTTGGCGGCTAAAATCATGACCAACAAGGAGCGATTAGATCATATGTAGCAATCCCTAGCCCAAATCACCGAGTCCTTTAGCACCATGGCCATTACCATGGATTCCATCCAGAAATCTTTAGAGAGGCAATCCAGATCACCATTAACGACCCACCGATCAGGAAGACGCAGGAAATTAAACAACCGAGCTCATCAGGAAGACGCAGGCAACAACCGAGCTCATCCTCCTCCTCTGATTCCTCTCCATCTCACAACAAAGAAGATGACTCTCACAGCGAAGAAGACGACAGCAAGCACAACAGTTCGTCCCACAGGTCAGGCAAATCTAATAGGAATAATTTTGGTAAACAAGACGTGAAAAGTGTAAACTTGATTTCCCTAAGTTTTCAGGAGAAGACGTCCTCATATGGCTTGACCACACTCGACAGTACTTTATGGTGAAAGGCATTCAAGGTCGGCAGAAGATCATGTTGGCTTCTTTCCATCTTGAAAGTGAAGCAAACCTCTGGTGGCAATGGTTTTCCAAACGCCAAAAGAGGGGCGAGGCATCTTGGCGACAATTTGAAGCAGGTATCTTGAAGAGATTTGGTCCCTCAAACTTTGAAAATTATGATGAGCTCCTGAGTAAAATACTACAGACCAGGACTTTTAGGGAATACTTGAAGGAATTTGAACGAATATCAACTCATGTGTCTGGATGGAAATCTAAGGCTCTGCTTGGAACTTTCTTGGAAAGTTTGAAGAAAGACCTGTCATTAGAAGTTCGCCTCTTCAATCCACATAAACTAACGGAAGCAATCGAGTTGGCCAGACGGATTGATGACAAAATGAAGAGAAGCAAAAAAAATCCCTTAGGACACAAAAATCCACTAGCTTTGGTAGAATGAATCAGGCCAACGCACCAGGACTCATGAATCTAAAGGGGAGTTAAGATACAGGAATATGACGGTTAACTGTGGAGGAGATGATCTTTCCTTCAAAAAAATGTGGAGGAGATGAAGGCACGAAGGGAAAAGAAATTGTGTTACAACTGTGATGAAAATTTTGTTCTCGGGCACTGATGTAAAGCGTCACAGTTTGTCATTGAAGACGATACCGATGAAGGGGAGTGGGAATTAACAGATAATAAAAAATGATGGATTTGAGGAAGAAGATATAGAATACAGCCCCTCAGTTTCCTTGCATGCCCTTGCCAGAGGAATAGAGACACAAACCATGTGAATGCAAGGTCTTTTGCAACCTCAATCGGTGGACATCCTAATCGACTCCGGGTCCAGCCATAATTTTATTAATCAAGCAGTGGAAGAGAGATTGAGATTGGTGGTTACCACCATCAAACCCTTTGCTGCCCGAATCGCTAGTGGAGAGCGATTATGGTGTACTGAAAAATATGAGCACAACTCAATCACTATTCAGGGATATACTTTCAATACCACTCTTTACGCCCTACCTATTACAGGTATGGATCTTGTACTTGGGATGCAGTGGCTAAATGGATTGGGTAAAATAGTTGCTGATTATAGAGACATGACCATGGAGTTCTCGGTTATGGGAGTACCATACGCCATCAAGGCAAAAGCCAAGAGGGGAGCAAGTTTGGTAACAATACATGCACTGATAGAGGATTGGAGACATGGAGCCAACTTACATGCAATGGCTAAATGCATAGTTTCCCATTTATACTTAAATGGAAAAACCATAAAGTGATGTTTGGTCAGCAACCAACATCAGAAGAAGGAAAAGAGGCACATACTCACCGAACAGATGTTCAAGAGATCCTCCATCAATTCGAACATATACTTGCACCCGCACACGCGCGAGTTACCACCCAGCCGTACATATGATCATCGAATACAGCTTAAGGATGAAAAGATAGCAGTGAATGTGGCACCATACAGATACACTCACTTTCAAAGAATGAAATCGAGAGGCAGGTGGCAGAACTATTGGAATATGGTCTCATACAGCCAAACACCAGTTTGTTTTCATCTCCAGTACTTCTTGTGAAAAAGAAAGATGGGACTTAGAGGTTTTGCACAGATTATAGGGCCCTATATGAGGTGACTGTCAAGGATAGATTCCCAATTCCCACGATTGATGATATGTTAGATGAGCTACATAGAGCCACCTACTTTTAAAAATTGGACTTAAGGTCGGGCTACCACCAGATTAGGGTTCACCCCCGGATGACATTCCAAAAACGGCGTTTCAAGCTCATAATGGACACTACAAGTACCTCGTCATACCGTTTGGATTATGCAATGCACCTTCCACCTTTCAAGCAGCTATGAATGACATATTCAAACCGTATCTACGGTTGTTCATATTGGTCTTCTTTGACGATATTCTATTTTACAGTCAAACGCGAGAAGAGCATTTAGAAGTTAGAACACCTACGGATAACTATGGAAATTTTATCAAAAAATCAGTTTTACATTAAGCTTGCCAAATGTTTTTTTCCCAAATCGAGGTAGAATATTTAGGGCACTTCATCTCAAGGGTAGGAGTCCGAGTTGACCCACGGAAGGTAGAAGTCATGATGAACTGACCCATTCCAGTCACTATGACAGCTTTGAGAGGGTTTTTGGGTTTGACAGGATATTATCGAAAATTTGTTCAAAATTATGGGCTCATTGTTCGGCCATTGACTCAACTATTGTTAAAAGAGCAGTTTAGATGGAATGGAGAGGCAACTTAAGCATTTGAGGCTCTTAAGTTGGCTATGTCATCAACCCCAGTCCTCGCCTTGTCGAACTTCAATGAGGATTTCGTGGTTGAAACTGATGCATCTGGATTCGGAATCGGGACAGTTTTATCTCAAAAGGGGCACCCAATTGCTTTCGTGAGTGAGGCTCTAGGTACCACCAAGCGAACATGGTCCACATATGCCAAGGAAATGTTAGCAATTGTTGAAGCGCTCCGAACATGGCAGACATACCTCCTGGGACGTCGCTTTACCTTATAGACTGATCAGAAGAGTTTGGGACAACTCTTAAAGCAACGAATAACCACACTAGAACAACAAAAGTGGATTGATAAATTACTGGGATTTGATCATTTCATTGTGTACAAGACAGGGGTTATGAGCAAAGCTGATGACGCCTTCTCTCGACAAAACCCACTGAAAATAGAAGATCAAATAACAGCGGCAACAATTACCGGGCCTATATGGGCAATTTGGGATGATATTCGTCGGCTTACACGGGATGATTCTTACCTACAGGAGTTACGCCAGAAGCTTGTGAGTTCCATAGCACTGCAATTGGGGGTCATTCGGGGGTATTATGCACATTCCAACGCTTGTAACAAACCTTTTATTGGCCAGGGATGCGCTCCGCAGTAAATAAGTATGTCCAAGAGTGTGATACATGTCAACAAGCTAAAGCCGATTCACTTGCACCAGCTCGGTTGTTGACAACATCACCGATACCTACAAAAGTATGGGCAGACATTAGTATGGATTTCGTGGAAGGACTGCCTAAATCAGGAGGGAAATATAGTGTGTTAGTGGTCATTGATCGACTCACCAAATATGCACACTTTTCAACATTATCCCACCCATTTTAAGCTAAAGACGTCGCAACAACCTTCATACGGGATATAATGTGTCTTCATGGGTTCCCAGAAACAATAGTAAGCGACAGAGACCATATATTTATGAGTCTATTTTGGAGAGAATTATTCCGCCTCCAAGGAACTACCTTAAAAACAAGCTCGGCATACCACCCAGAAACTGATGGCCAAACTGAGGTAGTGAACTGTTGTTTGGGTCAATATTTGCGATACTTCGTTCATAACTTTCCTACCAAATGGGGAGCTTATCTGGCTTGGGTTGAACTTTGGTACAACACTTCATATCACAGGTCCACGGGAATGACTCCATTTGAAGGGCTATACGATCGAACGCCTCCCATGTTAAGATCGCATGTGGACGGGCAATCTCCTTTGGCAGAAGTTGATGTTCAGTTGTGTGATCGCAAAGAGGTTATATAGGTGTTACGTAGCAACTTGGTTCTGGCTTTCAATAAAATGAAACAAATGGTTGATAGAAAAAGGAGAGAGGTCCATTATGATGTGGGTGATTATGTGTATCTCAAGCTTCAACCTTTCCGCCATCAGTCGATCTTTCGCAGGGTATCTCAAAAATTAGCTTGTAAATTTTATGGGCCTTTTAAGATACTGGAAAAGCTTGGAGAAGTAGCTTACAGACTTGACTTACCTTAGAATTAACGAGTACATCTGGTGTTTCATGTTTTCTTACTTAAAAAGGGATAGGCGTCTTAGCTGCAACCAGACATACGCTACCACCATATTATGGGGATGGACAGCCCGTGTTTGAACCAAAGAGAGTGCTCCAGTCTCGCTCTGTTTGTACTAAGCAGGGAGTGCATCAGGAAGTATTAATATAATGGGCTGATTTGGGACCTGATGAAGCCACATGGGTGCCAAGGGAGGTTATAAAATGTCAATTCCCTGCCTTCAACCTTGAGGACAAGGTTCAACCTCCTGAAGGAGGCAATGATGAAGACGAGTTTAATCACCGACAAAGTAAACGGGCAAGAAAGAGCTCAATGAGGCTTCAAGACTACGTGGTAAATTAGAAGTAGGCCGGAGTGCTGCCAGATTATTTTTAAACTTTCTGTTTCCGTATTAATATTATTTAGCTAGTAGAGTTGGAGTATAATGTTTATTCCTACCAGTAGGATTATTATTTGCTTTGGATTCATATTCCTATGTTATTATGTATGTTTACGGGTATAAATACATACCTCTTCCTTACCAATAAAGATTATTGAGAGCTTTATAATTAAATTTGATCTTCTATCACCGTGAAATAGAACCGGTTTCTTTGCATCGTAAGCAAGGCTGTTTCATCTTGTGTGTGCGTGCGTGTGCATGTGTGTGCGCGTGTGCGCGCGTGTATGCGTGTACGCGTGTGCGTGCTTGTGCGTGCGTGCGTGTGCATGTGTGCGTGCGTGTGTTTAACTTTTCATTTTTATGTGTTTGTCATTTTTTTTTTATTTTTTATTTTTTCTTTTTATGTGTTTGTCATACCATGATAAATCCATGTCTCAAGGTTAGATAATCAACTTTGGGAACAGAGTGTATGAATTGTCGAAAGAAACACACCTGTACGTAACAAAAAAAAAACCGCAAATTAATGCTAATTTGGTGGGGAATGTACTTGATTATAAAAATATCACCATTTGAAACGGCAAAAGTAATATTAATAATCGCAATGATTCTTTAAAGATTATTCTTTTTATTATTTCTTGTTATTATTGTTACGTAGTACTCGTTTTATTTTGGTATCTTCATCATCATCATCATGAGAATTGTTACGTAGTAATTGGAGTAGTACTTTACTGTTTTTAGTATTTTATTATTTATATTTTTATGTTTGACTATATTAGCTAAATGTTTAATTTGTCTCTTATGAAGTTATGAGCAAATCATTTTTAGTTTCAATTCATAACTTAAAAAAACTACATATTGCCTTCTACGGAGTATTACTTATTTGTCCACGATTTGCTAGTTAGGATGTTTTTACTTGGACTGTAATTTGCCCCAGACCAGACCAGACCAGTCCAGACCAGACCAGACCAGACCAGACTAGACTAGACCAGACCAGACTTGGATAGTTATAAAAATACAAAGAAACCAGACCTTACCAGACCAGACCAGACCAGACCAGATCAGACCAGCAAATTACAGTCCAAGTAAAAACATCCTTAGTCAAGGTTATCACTTGCCAGTTGCCACAACCTTTTTATAACTATTGTCTTGCACGTGGTATTTCTTATGCTTCACTATTGGGCCAAAATATAGGCACCATGGTATTGTACGTAAACCAAAAAATTTACTAAAGTGATGAATATTGTGAAACTAAAGTGATTAATTAAGTAGTTGTTAAATTCATAATTTAATGGAAACTACTTTAATCTTTTTCACATTATTAAATTTAATACACTAATTAATTAAATTTCATGAAACTAGCTAGCTAGAGTATGCTCATATATCCTAGCTTGCTACAAGGCTACAACTCATATGTAATTAGTTGCAATTAATCAAGAACAAATGTAAGACCACTTACTATCCAGAGAAGAATGGGTCTTGTTGTCCAAAAGCTCAAATGTCTTCTTCCGAATGTTGTCTCTCTAGCAAACCGGAATCTCTCTGGATCTGACATTAATTAAATTTAACAAAAAAACGAATCAATTTTAGACATGAAAACAATCGTAATATATATATATATATATATATATATATATATATATATATATATATATAGTAATATAGATAAGAGATCACATACTAACCATGCTTAAAATACTAACTTACTAACTCAATAATATGCAACACATTGAACTTCAATATGCAGTACAAATAATGTAAAGATGCACACTGTGAATTTCAATATGCAATAAAAACAATATGCAAAACTTTGAACTTTAATATGCAGTACAAATAATATGCAACACTTTGAACTTCAATATGCAGTACAAATAATGTAAAGATGCACCGTTTTTGATAGTTTGTAGGTTAGTATGGGAGGAATGGTTAGTATGTGATCTCACCCATATATATATATATATATATATATATATATATATATATATATATATATATATATATAGACTCAATGATGAACAATTACTGATTTACCATGAGCGAATTTGTATTCTGCCGTTCTTGTTTCTTTTTCCCATGCTTTCCATCTTCTCATCTAAAATAATAATCCATTTAAAAATGAAATTTTATATTAGATTAAACAAAATAAAAATCTAATGAGGATAATTAATGGTAATCTTTAGTGAATAAATTACCTTGGCTCGCCCCAAAGCCAAAGTTGTGACACAATAGAAGATATGAAAAACGGCTAAAACGAATATGAATATATGTAACTGATGAATTCCATCTGTAGACACTAACGGCACTTTTCCCTGAAAACAAAGAAATGATGAAATTAAATACGTTTAGCAAGCATAGTGTAACAATTAACTAGGTTTAGTAAAATTACGTGTATAAAATGGGAAAGCAACTTGATGAACATTAAGGAAAGTAAAAGGATTACAAGTATATGTTACGAGTAAAATCAAGCAATCGTTGACATTGTTCATAATTTGGAGTGGAATTGATTCCAGACAGATTGAGGAATTTGGATAGGACTGAGCTAAAAATCAATGATACTACGATTAAACATTAGCAGAGTGACCAAAATATGAAAAAATGAAAAAAAATATACTAAAAGAATTAGAAATAAATAAGTTGTCCTTAGCTACAACTCACCTTAGCCCTAATGTGTATCCTCCATGGTTTTGAATAAGTTATCGACGGGTACTGGAACCCTTTTATGAATATTGGGACTAGAACGGAAGCAATCGAACATTTTTTAAAATTTGAGGTGGGTTGGAGCTTAGTGTGTCCCGTCCCTACTTCCGCCCATCGCGTGCATGGAAAGTGGACCTAAGTCTATCCTACTTATTGTTTAATTACATCTCTTGATTTTTGCAACCATACATTGCAATAGATGAAGGATTTCAGGTCACATGATTCTAGGCCAGAGATGCAAATTATATATACTCAATCCTTTCGGCCAGAGGGAGAGATGTACATTGACGCTTACAAAATTGTAATTCCATCTAGTTCTAGAATATATAGATGCATATACATGATAAATGCAAAGATCATCGGGAAAGATCATTCAATAATTTGATTTAGTTCACAACTGTCCACTAAATTGTACGGAGTACGGTACGTAGTAAAATTTAAAGAGGTTATTGTTTTTTATCATAAAAACAAACCACTTATACTAATATATTTTTTAATTGGATCGTTACATCAAACTCAAAAAAACTAATCCTAACAATAACTATCATTAACCAACAAGAACTATTCACCCTACGACTAGACTCAGAGAAAATCATTCCTTAAAAAGCAATATGAATCGCAAACCAATTTGAAGATTATTAGACGATTATTAGAATATAAAAGATTTGATTAATTAAGTTTTAGAAGTACCAAAATTTGTGAGCTTCTTTAGAGAAAAAAACCCTTAGATTTATGTTCTTTGAAGATACATAAGAAGAAAGAAGTTGATTGAAATTTTGTTTTCCATTAGTAGATTTGGATGAATGGATATAGTAGGGAGACCCGATATATATAATTAATTATTGCTTGTTTTGATGAAAAAATGAGAAATGAGCCGAATTAAATATATGAGATCAACACATTTTGTTGCCTTAATTTATTAAAATTGAATGTTCTTGGAAGATGTATTAGGGAGTGTATTTATCAAAACATAGATTGCAATAAATGTGATTAAAACATACGAAGTATATATGTAGTATTAAACAATATGCATGTAATTTTATTTTCTTCTAAATAAAAGAGTATTGTCATGTCATCAAAAAATCACTGTCAATGAGGACTGCCGCATACTTTCTCAAATAATAATCCGTACCTTAGCTTCTTATAATAAAAATTTATATTTCTCCTATTCTTGACTCAAATTTATTTGAAACAATTCAATTAATATTCTATGGAGCAGGGCCGACTCAATATATTAGGAGACCCGGTGAAATTAAGTCACGAAAAATTGGCCTTATAATAAATCAATACAACCAAAAATCAACCTTAAGAAAACCCAAAAAAGCTACAAGCAAATGTGAGATTAAGAAATGATCACTTTTTCAAACTTGAACAAAAAAAATTAGTAAAAAATCTAAAATCGGAAATGGACGAATAAAATAAGAAAAAGTGATTTTTTTCCTTTGGTAAATAAATTTATCAACTATTTTCAAATGGGCGGCCTTATATACATTATATAGATTTTACAAAAAAATGGGTCCTATATTTTTGGAGGTCCTCTGCAAAAGTACGCTCTGCACGCCCACGGGTCTATGACCATGCTACGGAGTTTGAGAAAAATAATCACAAATTATGTAAATACCTTAAGAGCGCATTTGTCAGCTCCAGCTGCCAGAACACGCCGCGTTCCTCCGCTGACGAGAAGTCTCAGGCGGCCGTCAATATCGCGCGGCGGCGACAGTTTCAAGGCTTTAGACTCCTCCAACTTTTGTGCTCTCTTTTTGCTGCACGGAAGCCACGTGTTTCCGACGCTCGCGGGAATGCATATGTTCGAAATTGGGCTTTGCAACACAGTTAGCATCAATGATATAAATCCCAGCAGCATAAGTTCTGCATTAGAATATACTCCAATTTAAATCTGTCGAAATGAAATACTCAAATCCATATAATAATTAAGAAAAAGCCCGATCTTAGATTGTCTGCTTATCTGTTGATTTTTTTTACCAAACGTTGAATTCGTGTGCTGAGTTAGTTGTGTAATACTCCCTAACAAATTAAAAGTAAGTAATTAAGATTGAATTTATTTTTCAAGTTGAATTGATTGACGTAATTGTAGAGGACCATTTTATCTATTCTCATATAACTTTTTAAAATTTTATTAGTGAGATACATTTTAAATATAATTTTCTATAGTTCAATAGATTCAACCAATTAAGCCACGTATGTCATTCAAAATCTATCAGATTCAACCAATTCAGCCACATATTTCATTCAAAATCTAACCGATTCAACCAATTCCAATATTTCACCAATTCCAATATGAGCAATTCTATTTGTATACGTTTCGGAATTTAAACGTTTAATTTTAACACTTGTCTATGCAATCAATTCCACTTGAGGAATTTTGAGTTTGCACCCCACTTTTTGTTTGATAATGGACTTTGCACCACATTTTCAAAACTTTTAGACTTTGCACTCTATCCACAACATTTTGTGAAGAACAAATCCTGAATGGGGTGCAAAGGCAAAGACATTTTAGGGGAAATAGGGTGCAAAGTGTTAGAGTTTTGAAAATAGGGTGCAAAGTCCAATATCAACCAAAAAGCGGGGTGCAAAGTCAAAATATCTCATTCCACTTTTGGTCCTATGAGTTTTACTTCATTTCCACATTTAGTTCACGTCTTTCACTTTTTCTACTTTTGAATTTTGATACTTGACTAGTGTTTCTTGACCATTTGTCGTCCTTTTCGGCGATTTTAACCACCGCAGTTATTGCGGAAGGACCATATATGTGGACCAAAAATTGTTAAAGTCAAAGACGTGGACCAATTGTGGAATTGGATTGATACTTGTATGACCAAAATGGAATTTTAGCTTTTTTTGTCTGTGAATATTGTTTTCACGCACACAAAAATGTTTGCGCACACAAGTGTAAAAACGTATAAACTTTTAAAACGTGTATTAGTAACCGGGCTCATCCATTAACGGCCGAGGAAGTATTGATCTTTCCAAAATTTGTGTGATTTGTTAATGTATAAAAAGTGTAAACTGTGAATTATACCAAGCAAACCACTTATTTCAAATCTGAATCTCAATAAAATAACGAGTCAAAATACAGATAAAATAAGAATATAAACAAAGATTAAAAAAAAAAGATAAAATTGAGGATGAAATCAAAGAATCAAAGATCAAACCGAGAGTAAAAACAAAAAAAGGCGAGAGTCAAACCAACTTACTCATGTGCGTTCATCATGTGTGTTGCTTGACTAATATTAATGTAGACAAACTATAAACTACAAACGTATGTGATCTACCATTAACATATAAACATATAAACTATATGTAAATTTCGTATATATAAAATCCAATTTACTTAAATGCAATGATTCAAGTAAAAAATCATTGCATTTTCTAAATCCTTTTGCGCATTATTGTTGGTACCTGATTTGATCTTTTCTAGAGCTTCATATAAGGCTACTTTATGTTTCAACTTCAACCACTGCAACCAATAAACACATAATTAAAAAAAAAACTTAAAATAGAAAAATTGCACCTTAGCTTCATCATACTAATAACACAAATTAATTAGGTCTAATAACAGAAATTAATTTTAAAAATAGTAGTTAAAAGATCAAGAAATACGATTAATAAGATCGAGAGGCAGTAAATTAACCTTTCCTATAAGATGGAGGATGTACTCAATGAGGATGGAAACTCCAACCAAAACTAAACACACAACGGAAACAGCCCACGTCGGCGTTTCCTCCAATGATCTTCCACTCCCACCTCCGGCCATCTTTTACTCGATCTTGCTTTTTGCTTTTGTGGAAGACAAAAAGGATTTCTACAATTCAAATGTGTAATGTTTAATGACAAAAGTGAATTGCGTTGAAATATAAGTACAAATCATCTATATATAATTTCTGTATATATCTCCACGTTTCCACTTTTTTAATTCGCATTTCATGTCATCTTCCCATGCCATGACTTTTATTAATAACATATTTTCTCAAAAATATTACTAATTGAAATAAAACCCATTTACAAAAATAATATATGAATAAATTATAGTCATTTTGAGCATATAGTGTTATGGTCAGTTAAGTGTAAAAATTGATCATAAATTATTATGATCAAAGTTACAACGAATACTACAATCACTACAAAAATTACGAGATTTGCATGGATTTGACACAGATTTACTGATGATTTCGAACGAAGTAGTTTGTGTCAAAATGTTTTTGGAACGAATTTGACATATCTTTACCAAATTCTCAATGAATTTTGATGAATCTCTGTCAATCACTCAATCATGTGTTTTTGTAATGAATATTAATCACTAAAATTAGGTCATTTTTTATTATTATTTCCAATAACAAATCATTCTCTTTTAAAATAAACAGGTGCATTTTTTTGTTCCGGTGTCATTGATTTTTTCTGTGAGAACAGATATGCCAACACGACTTGACCCTTCCATTTTTTTCAAAAAACAAATAACTCATTTATTATTAAAAGATATTAACGATACAAGAGAATGAATAGTCTAAGGTTAGAATGAGATGAGATAAGGGTGTGAAATCAAGCATTCCAGCTCAGCTGGTTGTGAGGTTACCGTGCATAGTGGGAGGTCTCGAGTTCGAATCCCGCTAGGCACATAAGCTAGGGTGTGAAACTCAATGGAGTGAATTTCAACCCTGTTTACTCCAGCCCCTCCCCCCCTCCCCAGGCCCCCTCCTCCACCCCCTGGAGTAAAAAAAAAAAGAATGGGATGAGATACAGAACAAAAAATACCCAATTTATCATTCGAGATCGCTAATTCCACAATAATGTAATACAGAGTATAGTTTAACAGTGTCGTTGTTCTTCTTGACACTTCCATTTTTTCAAGCAAAAAACTAATTATATAAGAGATTCCTTCTTATTTTTCACCGTGTCTTTTTTTAGATCAATACACACATAAATTCATTAACCGAGAAACCAAATCCTAAATTTAGGGGTTAAATTCGTTATTTGATGTTTAAGCTTAAAAATTGACCGAGTTGACTAAGGATGTTTTTATTTGGACGGTAATTTGTCCCAGACTAGACCAGTCCAGACCAGACCAGACCAGTTCAGACCAGACCAGACTTGGATAGTTATAAAAATACAAAGAAACCAGACCTTACCAGACCAGACCAGACCAGTTCAGACCAGACCAGACCAGATCAGACTAGACCAGACCAGACCAGCAAATTACAGTCCAAGTAAAAACATCCTAATAGTGACGAAAGTCGATCGATAGAATTATGTTACTCCCACCTATCATAATACTGCTATTTTTATGCGCAATGCGCGAAAGCTAATGCCCAATAAATAATAAAGATATTGGGTGTTTTTTCCTAAAATATTACTAAGAAAAAAGTTGTGGACAAAATTGTGACTTAGTAACATAATTGTGTTCATTGTTTCTATCGTAGTCACTATACTGTAGTAACTATAATTGTAGTCACTGTAATTGTGTTCAATGTTTCTATCGTAGTCACTATACCGTAGTAACTTTGAATACAATTATAGTCATTAAAAGTTACTAAGTCACATTTTTGTCCACTACTTTTCAAAGAGTAATATTAGTGGAATATTTTCATTAATGATTTTTATCAATGATTCATACAAACACGTGACATTAATCCATGTATTTTCCTATTACTAATTTTATTTGTAAATTATATAAAACATATTAAGCTATTATACTTAAATTCAGCTACTATACTTTAATTACATAAATATGACCAAAATAAAGATGATTTACAAAAATATGACTAGTTACTAGAGTAGTAATGAAATCATAGTAATTCATATTGAAGTTTTGAACTTTAAGTTACCACAACACTACGTTGTAGTAATGAATAGTCATATTTATGTAAATAAGTTTTATTTTAGTAATATTCTTGTAAAAACTCTTTTAAAATTGACTCCTAATTTTATAAAATAGTAATGGGAGTAATCTACTGCTGTTGATTGTTATTTGAACTTGACATAATAATGTGCTTGTTATTTGAACACAACGTAGTAAAGTTTGTAGTGGTATATTTGATTGAACTTAATGCACTAATAAATGTTGTCGCATATTGTAATTTTATTTGAAGCTAACTTAGCTTATGAAGTTAATGTTTAACGGTGTAATGACATTTTTGTCTATTATAAAGTTGAGTACCACATTTTAGAATAAATGTACAAGCCTTTATGCATAAAACGATTGACACAAATTAGGGATACTAACCCATGTTCACAATTATAATGTTTCTAGAAGTGTCTCATTTTTCTTTTTAGGTTATATCAAATTAAGTGTATGACTTTCATTTGAAAATAAATTCATGTCAAAAGCAACTACAAGTACACTATAATAAAGTAAACAGTTCTGCTAAAGTACCAAAAACTCCTGCTCTTTCAGAAAATGTACAGTTTATCTATAAATTATCTTAAACTACGTGAAAAGCCTACTGGGACACTTATTCTAATACGGATAGAGTAATGGCAAAATTAATTCAAAATGGTCGAAAAAAGACAACCCGATCAGAATCGACTAAAGACACCCTATCGTAAATTCACCTACCAAAGGGATACCTACTTTCCCCATTCATAAAATTTATCAAAATTGACTTGCATTTAGAATAATAAAGTCAAGATTTATCATTTACATTTGTGTGGATGAATGAGAAACAATTATAAGGGGAAAACGCATTTTTAGTCCCTGAAATAGTTAGAATATTGAAATGCCAGACCCGTATTTCCGACTTTGTAAATGTCACCCCTCAATTGTCCAAATTGGTGTAAACGTGTTCCTTTGAGTGGTGAAATATACAAAGTGGGGGGTACATTTCACCCCTCAAAGGACCACATTTACAACAATTTGGATAATTCAGGGGTGGGATTTACAATCTCGGAAATATGGGTCTGACATTTCAATATGATGACTATTTAATTTCAGAGGCTAAAAGTACAATTTTCTCTAATTTTAATCAAATATTTATCACTTTAAGTGATATGGAAAAGTTGATAAAGTGTAATGACGCGAAGAGATCGAGTATGTTCTTTAATCTTTAAAATAAAAGTAAATATTATCGTGATGAAACAACAATGTGATACTCCGTATTAATTAATTACTCTGTAATGTTAGTACACCGGGACACCGGACACATTCGAAAATGAGAGTTTTATTATTTATACATATTTATTAAAAAAAATATACTCATAGTTATCTTATTTGTAAGAACATAAATTATTTATTCTTATTTTGTAAGGATGACACCTCATCCGTAAGGTGTATATAATCACAAGCTTAGGGATATGAACAGGGCCGGTCCTGGGGCATGGGCAGGAGGGGCATGCGCCCAGGGCCCTTTGCTCCTGTAGGGCCCATAAAATTTTGAAATATGTGTGTATGTATGTACATAAATATTTTAAAAATATATAAATTATATTTTATAAAAAATAAAAAATAAAATCAAACTTATATTTTTAGATACTTCTAATTTGTTATTTACCATGTACACGATACAAGTCTATAATTTTGAAACATCCACATTAGAATTCATTGGGAACATATTTCAACATTTCTTTTGAATCATTAAGGATTATTACATTAATTTTAATCTTTTAGTGTACATGTCTTATGTATATCCATTGATATATTTCATAAATTTCATCTGATTCTCTCATTTAGTGAAAGATTGAACTTTAGTGTCCATAATTTAGAAACTTAGAATTTATTTTTGTCTAGTGAAAGTGTGATTTAAAATATGAAAAAGTTACTCATACAAGATATAACTTTCACAAATTCCCTTGATTCGAAATTTTTATTGTGCCTTATAGTTGCACTACTTGTTTCATTCGGTTGTTAGGTACATTATATCCTCGAATGTCACTTATCAATACGCTCTTTATATATTTTCTAATCATATGCTTTATTAGTTTTTTTATGTGTTATACTCGTATTTTGAAGGTAAAATTGTATAATTTTAAATTATAGCTTTTCGTGCGCTATCCCTAAGGCCCAGTCTATTTGTATTGTCCCGGGCCCATAAAATGTCAGGACCGGGCCTGGATATGAATTGGACTTTGATCATAAGGTGGATAGATAGCAAGTCGGATTCTATCTCAAATACTCGCAGAGACCTATAAATTTTTAAATAATTATAACCTTCCATTACAATTATCGGGAATCAGACAAGAGACTTACTTTTGTCGGGCTCATATCTCTTTCGTCAACCATTCAATCTTGAGATGTGGGTTGTACCATTTGTACTTGACTCTTCCGTATGAAATATGAGCACTTTTAGGTGACGGTCTTTCCACGTAGTTACTATGTATGATTGTCTTTAATTTAATTACTCCTTGAAAGCTGTAAAAGGTTACATTCATTTTTTGACCCATCTGGTTTTCAACATAACACAATTTAATTTCACATGTAGACTTTGGTACTCATCCTTTCATCACTTTCTTTAAATAAAACACAAAGTCACCTTCAAAAAATAAATAAAACACAAAGTCAAATACTATGTTTTTTTTTAAATCCAACCTTTTATTGATATCGAGCATACTATATTCTTGATGGTACACGAAATGGCCGAAAGTAATAATAAGTTATTTATAACCCAGCCTGCCACTTTATTTGGTCCCGAGTCTCGACCTGTCATGCGCTGAATGTCGTACATAGGTGATTAATGTAG